AAATCGATTTTTCTAAGTTAAGTGTTCGTTCTAAGAACACAGTTCTTGTATTATCTTTTACAATTATTATATTAATAAAAAAGAAGTAAATTAAAATCCTATTACCAGATTAAATCCATCATAATACATTTCGGTTTATTCGTAAATATGTCAGCGATTTTAATATTTTGTTAATAAATCAATTACTTCGTGACTGTTCGAAACTTGAAAGGAATTCGAAAGCATTTTTAAACTATCGAATAGAAAGTCATTTAAATATTATTTGGGGGGAAGCGCTTAGTTCCTATTTAAAATTATATCCCAGTATAGAACGATCCTAAAATCTATTTTCAATCGATATTTATTCCATAGTTGCTTAATGTTCCTACAATCCCAAAATTACGTAATTTTCTGTTGCTAATTTTCCGGTGTCCAATTTTCCGTTGCATCATTTTTTGACAAAAATGTTCTATTTAATTTTTAAGTATTTTTCGGAATGTAGTGATACTGGCAAATTAGTATGCATAATTTGTATAAGCATAAGTGAACACACATATAAGTGGTCACTGAGAATAACGAAGCAGTAGTACGAGTCTAGCGGAGCGGGAGAAGGGGCGATCGTAACCTGGTTGATCTGATCGACGATTATGGACTTGTCGATAAATACCGGGTCGATCATCCCGGGGGGAAAATGTGGACATGGGCTCTTAATTGGCCTTGTGACAAGGTAGTTAGCTACCTTGACAGAATATTAGTTAGAAGAGCCGACGTAGATCTTTTAGATTGTCCCACGTTCCACTGGGTAGGCTATTCGGGCCACAAACTCGTTTGTGCCCGGGTGGCGTTAGGAACTAGGCCTAAAATGGCTGGGTACTGGAAGTTCAATCTGTCCTTACTGGACAGGCGGGACTTCCAGAAACAGCTAGATTAGTTAAGCGGGAACTAGTGGGTGCGGTTATCGGGAATAGATGGTGGGAGCGACTTAAGTGTAAGATTAGGTCTTTCACCATTGATTTCGGCAAACGGCTCGCTCTAGATAGAGCTGAAAAGGTGAAGACGCTTAAGGCTAGTTATTCCCGGGCGGTGGCTGGAGGGATCCCCTAGAGATAGCCTTAGATCGTTCGAATAGCGAGCGTTACATGGGCCAAGTAATTAGATATAAGTTAAGCAAGATGTCTTCCGAAGCCGTGAACTTGGGCGAAGATCTGCGCAGGGAAGAGGTCCGTCGAGGTGGCGATCGTTGCATTCGTGAAGTCAAATCCCCGGAGGGGCACACTCTTCGGGCCACTGACGACATGTGCGAGGCGTTTCGGCGCCATTTCGAGAGCCGGTTTACCAAGGAGACTGGTCTCCGTGAGGAGGAGTTTCGCAGCTATTTGGCTGACTTTCCTCGGCTTTCGCCGACTGAAGCGGCTAGCTGCGAGGGAGAGATCACGGAGGGCGAAGTCTACGCGGCATTGAAGAAGGTCGGCAGAGGCAAGTCGCCGGGTCTGGATGGTTTGCCTTATGAATTGTACTTGAGGCTGTCGCACATCTTTGTTCCGATTTTGACAGTGGTGTTCAACAAGTGGTTTCGGTCGGGGTCCATCCCCAATCGGATCACCAGGGGTGTGATCACACTGTTGAAAAAGGGCTATGGTGGTGGGGGGAACCTAGATGATTTCAGGCCCATAACTCTGCTAAACACAGAGTTAAAGATTTTGGCCAAGATCCTGCAGGAGTGTTTGCAGTCAGTTGCCGAGTCTCTGTTGGGTCCTGAGCAGACTTGTTCTGTAAGGGGCCGAACAATTCAGAGCAACCTGCATCGGATCCGCACGATCATAGAGGGTGTAAAAGACGACGAAGAAGCCGCGCTGATCAATTTGGATCAGTCCAAGGCATTTGATAGGGTTGACCATCGCTACCTTGCTACTGGCCTGCAGGCTGCTGGATTCGAACCCAACTTCTGCCGTTGGATTAGCCTCCTGTATCGCTCCCCCAGTGCTGTGGTACAGGTGAACAGAAGGTTGTCGGGCGCTTTTGCGCTGTCTAGGTCGGTACGTCAGGGTTGTCCGCTGTCGCCTCACCTTTATGCTTTGACGTTGGAGCCTTTCCTTCGCCGGCTGAAGGACGAGACGTGCAGTCCGGCCCTACGTGGAATCGCCGTACCTGGAGGGTCTCGATCCAGGGTTTCCGCGTACGCCGATGACGTATCTGCTTTCGTGTCGTCCCGCAGCGACAATGAGTCGGTGCAGAAGGCGCTTGATCGGTACGAGAAGGTGACAGGGGCCAAGATAAACCGCGACAAGTCGTCCGGCTTGCGGTTAGGTGCCTGGAAGGGGGTCGCTCTTCTGGGCCGCTTCGGTTGGACGGACGGTCCTGTCCGCATTCTTGGAGTGTGGTTTGGGCCCGACCCCCAGCTGCAGAAGAATTGGTCTGAAGTACTTGCTCGTACTTCAGACCAATTCTTCTCCAGCTGGGTGTCGGGCCCAAACCACACTCCAAGAAGGTCGATTCTGCCGGTCAGACTTGAAATTGACGGAGGTTGTCCGTGAAGGGCAGGGCGGAGGTGTGTGCTACATACATTTTCCTCCTGATTCTTTATCGATTGTCCGTACTTCCTCTCTGTGAGACCCACAGGAAGGCGCTATCCTCCATTTTATGGAGGGGACACGGGAATCGGGTCGACAGTCTGCACTAAACGTCCGTGTCGTGGGAGGCTGGGAATGCCACACCTGTTGAGTCACATCCGTGCCTCTAGGTTGGCTTTCCTACGCCGCGCATTGACTGGAGGAGATCCGATTCTGGAGGGGATTGTTAGGGACGCGTTCCCTGGCCTTACCATCAGGCCCCCATCTCGCGGGTTGAGCGCCGTCGTAAACTCCGGGATCAATCGGTTTTCCTTCGCGAGTGTCGGTCGGCCTTGAGGGCCGTTCCCCGGTCCAGTGACCTTTCCCGGCCCAGGAAGGTCTTCTATCGTGAATTAGTGGAGGGGCTCGCGAAGGATCCCCTACGAGATACGCTCGGCTTGTCGGAGGAGGAGTATCGCTCCTACTGGTCTTGGGCGCCAGCGGCGGATTACCTCAGTAACCCTGAGTTTTCGCTTAGCTGGCGATTGGCTCGGAATCGGCTGCCTCTCAACGACATGGCTTTCATATGGGGCTTGGCGGATTTGCCAGACTGTGAACGGTGTGTCCTTGGTTTAGAGGAAACGGCTTCGCACGCCTTCTACCATTGCCCCCGGGTCCGTCCCATGTCAGCGAGCTGATGGCTGGTCTCGCTCCCGAACAGCGTGTGCCCATTGATCACGCATACGCGTGTAACAATGTGTCGCCCCCGTATTCCGGGGTGAAATGAATGGTGTTTCTGACGCTGCTGGCCACGGCTCGAATGGTGATTTGGACGACGCGGAAGGAGGAAGTCTTGCGAGGTTATCGTCTTTCTCATCAGGATCTGATCCGATTCTTTGAGCATCAGCTCAAGATAAAGATTAGAACTGATAGAAAACGATTGCATTCGACAGTCTTTAGCGAAAGGTGGGTAAAAGAGGCGAGCTTGGTTCGTGTGACCGGGGATAGCCTTGATTTTCTCTTCTAGGTCAAACCTATGGCACATCGGGGTGGTTTCCTGTGGAACCCTCCCCTTGGTTAGGTTAGAAAAGCTTCAGTGTACCTAGTTAATGTGAGTAAATGTTGGTCCTGGCCTGTATCCCGGCTGCTCTTTGGTTATGATCCAAGTCGAGATTCCCAACCTCCCCAGTTTGTTTTGGTCCCCTTTCATCTCGGCTGGGTCAGCTTTATACTTTCCCATTCCCACATCCTTTTATCCTTTTCCCACTTCCTTAGCGAGAGCGCCTCTTGATTCTGTCCTCTGGGCAGAATACAGCGGCCTCTCTGTTTTGAGGGGTGGACAGTCAATTATGTTTAGTTTCCATTTTGTGTTGATTTTAGTTTATTATTGGGTTCATCTCCCCCCCTCTCATTTTATCATTATTAGAATTTTATGTATATTGTCTATCTTCATCAAATTTTTATGGCGTGGGGCGCGTTTTTGTAGGTTCCCATGGAGAGGATGTGGTATTATGGTGGATGGAGGATTGAACAGTGATGGATGAGTTCTTGTGGTGAATGAGTAAATTGTAATGTATGAATGGGTCGTGAATCTGATTAGCTAGGTATAAGATAGTTAGTGTTGACCAGCCTCTACCCGTCCCCTTTTCGGCCTTGTGCCACAATTTGTACTTGTACGAATAAATATAGTACGAGTCTAGCGGCTGATTAGTGCTAACCTCTACTTCACAACACGAACATTGTAAATCAACTGCATCTTTTAAAGGTTACCCAGAGAATTTATGCAAAGTTTATTTTTTTTTGTTTTTCTTTATACAAGTAAAATAAATTTACATCGTATTTTGATGTTATTATGATTTTAGTTTTAGTGATAATTTAAAAACAATAAATATTTATCATTAGTACCAATAATGGAAAATTAAGTTAAAAATTTAAAAGAATCGTTTTTGGAATCGGAAAATAGGCACAAATTTTTCCGATTCCGATACCGTTTCCGATATCCCCAAAAGTTCCGATTTTTCCGTTTATCGATTCCGATTAATCATCCCAAATTTAGTAGATATATTCAAAAGTATATCGCTTACTCAATGGAAAATTGTATCTCAGCGAATTGATACACAGGCAAGACTGAAATTGTTGCACTTTTGGCTTCGTATTTCGCTAAAACACCATATCATGGACATTCCCGTTACTAGCATTCGAAGTTCAGGAAAGCTTCCTTAGCCTCTTCTAAGTGGTACCAGACTTTCAATGACCTCCCAATGTCCCTTACAAATGTAATGACGCCCGGGGCTTGGGGAAAAATTACGGGGATCTTCAATCGACTTTCCATCACCGAGATCAGTTTAAACAAAGGACCCAGGAGGGATTTTGGGGGTGGGTGGATAAGTCCTTCTCCAACTCCTTCCTGTTTACCTTACAAATGTCCTCTGCACTGGCGAAAAACCACTTTTTTTTTCTCTTCTCTCTAGCATGATGGGGCGGAGAAGAAGTGGATGTGGGAGTGGGGTTGATGTTGACCCAAGGGATGATGTTGAGGGAGTGGGAGATGGTGTTGAGGGAACGGGGGACAAAGCCCGTATAGGTAATGCGGGGTGGCTTCCTGCTCTGGGACTCTTTGTATCTATTTCAGCTGGGGTCGTAGGGACGGATTGGGACCTTGATCTTTTCTGTCGGCTTGTCTATCCTGCTTCTTTCAGACCGCTTCTCCTTCTTTGTTTTTGTCTCCTCCTCTTGGTGGAGGCATTTCTTCTACCTCCATGTCCATCTCGGCACACTGTTTTTTATTTTTGTGCCTTTTGGGGGACTTTTGTTGTTTCTGGTGTTTTTGTGTCTCCCCCTGTTTTTTCTCTTTACGTTGCTGCTGCTCCTTTTCTTGCTGCTGTCCTTTCGAGGGCTGAGGCAGCAACTGCTGCTTTGTCGGATGCTCCTTGGGTGGTGATTGCTGATGGACCTCATTCTGGTGTGGAGGGCTATGCTCAATACAGGAGAGCAAACCTAATCGGTTTCATTATGGCTCTATGGTTAGCTAGTGTAAATACTCGGAGCCTGAGGTCGGACGAAGCTCGATTACAATCTTCAGCGTCTCGGGGTGAATGTATGTTGTGTGCAGGAGACCCAGTTTTCTTCTCGTGATTATGAAGGCATTCTGTCTCGGGGTGTTTCTCTCTATTCAGCATCTTGGAAGTTCGAAAGGTGTCTCTTGGCTAGTGAGCAAGTCTTTGAAGGCTGCGTGTGCTCTTATCTTCGCAGATTCGGTGGGCAGGATAGATGTTACCATAAAGGATAAGGCTCTTCGTCTCATCGGAGACGTAGCTTTTGCTAGGGCAGAGTTGGCCTACTTGCTTATCAAGAAGGATCAAGCTCTGGTAGTTAGGGCTAGGTTAAAAAGAATGTCCTCTGAGGCGACCAATATGGCCGCTGAATTGCGTGCAGAGGAATGAATCTCAGCGACATATCGCATGCGTCACATTGCCGTATAATAGGACTGTGACTACAAACGCGGGCATATGTGAGGCTTTTCGTGATTACTTTCAGGAAATTTTTTTTTTTCACCGGGGAACCCAGTCTGAACCCTACTCAGTTGGACGCCTATTTAGTTGAGCTTTTCCCTGCCTTGAGGCAGCTGAAGCGACTGGGTGCGAGGGTCCCATTACAGAGTCGGAAATCTGGGATGCACTCAAGCAGGTTGACCTGGACAAATCTCCGGGATTAGATCGTCTTCTCTACGAAGTGTACTTGAGGCAGTCTCCTGTTTTTGTTCCTTTGCTGGCACTGATTTTTAACAACTGGATGAAGCAGGGGTATATACCTCAACGCTTCGCCAGAAGTGTGATCAAGTTGCTACGCAAGAACAAGAACGGTGTTAGGTAACTGTCGCCCTTTAACTTTAATTGTTAAATACAGAGTTAAAGATTTTGGCCAAGATCTTAACCAACCGTTTAAAGGTTGTCCTCACTAATCTGATTGGCTCCGAACAGACTTGTGTTGTGAAGTGCATGGCTATTCAGGACAACCTTCATATGGTACGCTTGATCATCGAGCAAGTCGACAATGAAGCCGCACTGATCAATTTAAATCAGTCCAAGGCCTTCGATTGGGTTGACCATCGATTTCTGGAGGCTGTCCTTTCGGCGACCGGTTTCGGGCCGTTCTTTCGCACCTGGATTTGACTTCTATATGCGCCTCCCGGTGTGCTGGTGGAAGTGAATGGCGTACGATCGGAGTCTTTCGTATTGTCTCGCTCTATTCGTCAAGGTTGTCCGCTTTCGCTTTCGCTCTTGCGTTGGAACCCTTCCTTCGCAAGTTAAAGGTGAATCCAGTCCTACGCGGAATTTCCCTAGCTGATGCTACCAACACGGCCAGATATACTGCCTATGCTGATGACGTTTCAGTTCTTGTGTCGAGCAGAGCCGAGATTGACGAAGTCAGTAAAGAAATCAGTGGACACGAGACGGTGCCAGGAGCCAAGATCAACCGCGATAAGTCTGTTGGCTTGCGGGTTGGGTGCGTGAGAGGGAGTTTCTCTTCCCGGATCTTTTCTCCGAACGGACGGGCTGATCAAGATACTCGGCGTCTGATTCGGTCCCGATATCCAGTTGGAAATGAATTGGTCGGAGGTACAAAGGAAGGCCGAGATACCGTATACCAGACTAATTTCATTAGTAAGGCTCTTGTTCTCCTTGTTGTGGAGAGTCAATGCCTCTAGGGTATCTCAGGGGGTCTGTTGCCTCCACCCATCTGAAGGAGGCCTGGGTATACCTAGCATTGAGATTCATCAACATTCTTCGCATCGCGTTTCTAGTTCGAATGTGTCGCGATTAATTAAGAAAATACAAGATAATGCTAATGGGTTTTCTATATAAAGAAGTAGTAAATTTATGTGTGCTGGAATCAATAAGTACCCCAATGAATGGTATTTTATTTTATTATTAATATTGAGTTCTAGTGTAAACGACGGAGTAACTTTCAAATTTGTTTTAAGTTGTGTAATTTGATCAATATTTGCAGCTCAAATGAAAATGTCATCTATGTATCTTACATATATAGGGGTTTATTAGTGTCATTATTTTATTTTCTAAATATGCCATATAATGATTAGAAAAAAGGGGGGCTAAAGGCGATCCCATCGCGATACCGTCTATTTGAGTATAAATATTGCCTAGGGAGTCATGAAAAGGTACTTGAGTGGTACATGCTAATAATAATTTTTTAAAATAGTGTGTTTAATATTGATGGGTGAAGTGTTATTGTATACATCACGAATAATGATGTCAATCATTTCATGGCCGGGGACAGCTTTATTATTATAAAACTGTAAACTTTGCTTATATGTTTGCAGGAAGTCATATATAGAGAGTGGGTGAAAGAAAGATTTAAATTCATTATTTTGTAGGAACAGGAGGAGAGAAGGAAATGAAGAAAAAAAAACTGCTTTCTCTTTCCACCCTCTCTCTCTCTCTCTCTCTCTCTCTCTCTCTCTCTCTCTCTCCCCACCTTCCCGTGATTGCTTGCGTGCTTATTTATATTTCAGCTTTCTTTAAACAAACAATATTTCTAATGTTCAAAGCAACTTCAATGTTTTATAATCTGAACTTTCAGTGACTCAATAGGTCACGGGTATATATATATATATATATATATATATATATATATATATATAATATGTATGATTTAAAAATGTGATTTGTTTATGCAGTAATTATTTTATTTCAACTTTCTTCAAACAGGTAATTTTTTAATGTTGAAAGCAACTTCAATTTTTATAATCTGAACCTTTAATGACTCAACGAGTCACGGGTAGTATACTTTAAATGCAGCTTACATCGGCGGGTCCACCTATTATATGTATCAGTCATTATACCTTTTTTTCATGTAGGTTTTATCACTAGCTCTTTTTGTGCATAACAGAGAGCTAAAAAAGATCTTGATGTTAGTGGTATTACCTACTTCAACATTTATATGTTGCAATTCAGCGTCGAGTTCATTCTGTAGGGTATCTGTTCTACGGATCTTCTGGGTCACTATTGTGAAACTATTTAGCTATGGTAATTGATTAACTAATTAGCCATAAAAATTAAAAAAGAAAATACTGAGAACGGAAAAGAAGAAATCCCGAGATTTTATTTTTACTTTTAAAAAAAGTTACTTTTCTCAAGAAACCAGGGATTTGCGTCAACGATAAATTCACAGAAGAGCAATGTGGCGAGCTTTTGACAAATAATTAATGATGTTTGTAAAAGTACAGGTTAAGAAAGTACGACAACCAGAAAGCGTCCGAGATCGCAAAGATTTTAGGAGTCGACCAAGCGATAAAGCCATGTGTTAATTGTAAGAATGTTTGGCATAGGAAGATGTTCCGAGAGATTCCATGACTTCCGCCTCCGACCTCGCCTTTCTATCAAACAGCAAGTTATACTGACGAACGAAGCTAAGCCAGCACCTAAAAACTAAACCAGTTGACTTAGAACCAGAACTTGCCTAGAAGTATAATAGTGTCACTCTCAGAAGAGACGGGTTGGGAAAAACACATGCTCCTCTATAGAATTGACTGATAAAAGAAGATTTGCTTTCTTTCAACATACCCAAAACCGTTTTTCTGGTTTTTATTTATTTCTTTTCATGCTTGTGCGACATCACCTACAGTTTAGAATCATCTTGCACTACGGCCTGATTGATCTCGTCTACCTAAGATCAAATAATAATGTGGTTAGATTAGACTTAAGATCGAAGTAGTTACTTCGGTAACCAGTCATTGGAAGTGAGCTGAGAGCCACGGAGCTAGTGTCGAACTAGTTGCATCTGGTATGAAGCCATTAGAATCGACCGACCATCCCTGACCAAAGGATCCCGCTGGGTAGTATAGGATACAAATTCCATCAAATAACTGAAAAACACAAAGTAGATTTGCACACCCTCAAAATCGGATCAAAACGACTAAAACAGATTTCGCAATAAGGTGTGAAAATTTTCTGACCAATGAAAGGAGGCGATTTGCTAAACTAAAAAAAAAAATAACGATCACAGTGTGAAAAAAAAAGTCAGCTTTAAATAGAGAGACTCAAGTCAATCACCAGTCAGAAGGGCGCAGAGATCATAGAGGACAGAAGACTGACAGTCAGGTTCGTCACTGACTAAACCAGACACTAAGAGCAGAAAGTGGGGTAGGAAAGGAAAACAACAACAACAACAACAACAAATTTACAACTGACTCTAAAACAATTCAACCCGATAAGTACATTTTCCTCTTATCTTTTATTTCTCATTCACACTCTCTTTTTCAACTTAAATTGATCGCCCATTTTTCCTTTCCACCTACTCGGCGGATACACAAAAACAAAAGAAACAGACATTACTCTACTACTCTGTTGAAAGACAGCGAACACATAGGCATTTTTTTGTTCAAATCACATTTGCTTAAACGAACTAAAGCATTAATCTTTTTTACTCTATTCAACAAGATATAAAAATATACAAATTTGTTTATTCTGCATGAATGACATTAAATATACAATGTTCTATTTTCTACAAACGTTCCTTATCGTCTTGTCTTTTCTTGAAATTTGCGTTGTATTTTGTGGGCAGGGTATCCCGTATTAAATTCTCCTTTTAATCAGGGTACGCTGTACCCCACAGTAGTGACGACGCCCGATCGACCGGGTCACATTGTTGGTGGCAGCGACTAAGAGTCAACCCCAAAACACTGGTAGGAGAAGTATCACATTTTCGCACCGTGACTGGGAATTGACCCCGGGCCGACAATAATGTGTCACACTATATAAACGAAGCAATTATGAATATATGGACCTCTTGGTTCTATGATATGAGCACACGCAAACGGTCCATTCTCTGTGTATTCTCTATAGCTATTTACCTATAGCTATTTTACGCAAGATCAAAACATTTAGAAAATTAATAGTGAAATATAATAAGATCTACTCTGCAAGATACGATTAATATTCAATACCCGTGACCCATTGGGTCAATACTAAAAGTCTGTGATTACGTGTGTGCTTGCGTGCTTGAGCGGTGCGTCCGTCCAACACATAATGATTTTTATTTTAACTTTCTTCAAATAGACAATTTTATTAATTAAAATATTTTATATCTTTCATTTCAATCAAATGTTGAAATCAACTTCAAAGTTTTATAATCTGATCTGTTAGTGACCAAACTTGTCATGTGTAGTCTAGTTAGTAAATAAATTTTGTACATCCAAAGATGCGATTATTTGATTGTTTGGTTTTACAGCATGAAGAAATTGTACAAATTCGTTTATAGAGTTATTACAATATTTACCTGGGAGGTAGGGAGTAATTAATTTGGTAAGGGTTTTTTGAAAGATGGTGTAGGTGTTTGTGAAATGATAGGTCAAAGGGGATGATCTTTTTTATAGATTTTTACATTTCCATAAGTGTAGCCAGGTTGATAGTCACCTCTAATCTTTTGAAGTTTATAAAATCCTGTTTCAGCATTGTTAGCAGTAATAAGTTTATTGATATGGTTTTTAATTTGAGAGGTGGTGTTATCGGTTAACTTTTTAAATTTATTATGATCATCCAAAATGGACTGTAATTTTGAGTGGTACTCATGTTTGTTTAAAATAACGAAAGTATTACTTTTATCAGCCTGTCAGATAACAATACGGTTGTTATTTTTTAGTTATGTGGCTGCTTTTATTAAAGTGGTGTTTATAATTCCATTTGGATTTGTACGATATCAGTATTTAATAGATTCAGCTTTAAGTAATTCTTTCAAACCTACTTGTGTAGTAATATGGTTATCATGTTGCAATAGAAGTATTTATTGGTATAAAGCTTCAATTTGTGTTTGCTTAAACATTAAATTAGTTTTCTGTGTGACATAAAAATTTGGTCCAAGATTAAGGAATTCTATTTCATTTGGAGAGTGTTGGCAATCCGATAGGGTAACGAAGTATATATGCGATTGGGAAGATGTAGAAAATTGTAGCTAATGGATGGTACCCAATCCGTATCAGGTGGGTCACTGCAGAGAGGGGGTATGATGTTGAAAAACCTGAAACCTCTAATGAACCTCAGCTAGAAACATCACTGATGATGTGTAACAAAGCATCCAATAGATGTATTTTACAAAATGAAACTCTGAATAATTCAGTGACCTCTAGGAATAGACTATATGATGACCATAGAACAGTTTTGGTGAGAACTGGAGAGACAGTTGACAGCTTCACAAGACTTAAGACTTAAGGTAAGCTGGGTCACCCCCCCCACACACACACACAAACACACTTGCATCTTCCACTAGGAAGAAACCATTGTCAACTATGAGTTTTACAGGAAATAGATACCCCCAGGGGATCCCGAGAGGGGAGGAAAGGGGGATGAGATTCGACCAAGGATTACACCTGGATTACGAAAGTAAAATGCATCTGTGGAAAGGACTGTAAGAACCTGTATGGTTTTAAAATCCACCAGACCAGGATGAAATGTTTGGAAAGAGAGAGGCAGACACAACACACAGGTAGTTCCTCTGGTGAGAAGGAAGAGGAGCATGCCCAGGACACACACCACAGAGCTGAGTCTCTCCATGTGCCAGTCACTCGAGATCCAGAGCAGATTATATGGCCTACTGCACACCAGAAGGACAAATGACAACAGTTCAATCAGGATGTGAGTGATATTTTACGAACGATATTGAAAAGGGACGCAGATAGTAGATTATATACAATGATGATTATCATCATTATTTACACATCAGAGAGATTCAGTTATATTCAAAAGGAACATAAATAATCCAGAAATAACCGCTGGGAAAAGAAAATTCACCAGTTGAGACACAAGCTAAGATCTCTAAAAAGACAATGCAAACAAGCAAATGAGGTGGAAAAACACCTCTTTCGGAACTCCGAGACATATTGAGGAAAAAACTTAAAACTCTTCATAGAGCAGAATATCACAGGAAGCATACAAAACAGAGGACTAGGAAAGAAGCAGCCTCTATTTCAAACCCTTTTTGGTTTTGCGAATAGATTACTTGAAGACAAGAGAAATGGTAATCTTGAGTGTACGTCGGAAGAGATAAATTCTTTTCGATGAGAGACACTCGGTGACCAAGAGAGAGAAAATAATCTAGGAAAAAAACAATGCAATAGTGCAAGCTGAACTGCCAAAAACAGGTTTCGACATATAATTAAAGGAAGTCATATTGGCAGCTAGATCAGCTTCGGACCCAGGACCCAGCAGTGTTCTCTTTAGTGTCTATAAGAGATGTCCGAATATTCAGGTCAACTCTGGAAGATACTAAAAGCAATTTGGTGAATAGGTAGAGTTGCAAAAATGTGGAGGTTTCCCAATGCAGTATGGATTCCTAAAGAAGAAAACTCAAAAGGAATTGAACAATTTAGAATGCTTTCTTTGCTGGACACTGAGAACAAAATCTTCTTCAGCATCCTGTCCCAATGACTTCAGCATTAGCTTGGTGCCAAAAATGACATAGATACTTCAGTACAGAAGAGAGCCATT